GAATAAGATACGAGTTTTTTGTTGCAAAGTTGAAGTTTGATCAGAGTAGGAGTTCCATCGTAGAATTTATGAAAAGCACTATTCCTGTTTCACGGACTGGAAGCCTACGTTCGTGGAAACAGGTGGCGCAAGTGTAGGAGTGCTAGCCATTGTAAAGTGACACTTTGCAGCATCGCTAGGTTCTTCAGTAGAAAGTAGACAGAGTATATTTTGATACCTGTGGACTGCGGGTTTTCCTGTATTGGTATACAATACGACCATTTGTAACCTGCTAACAACTTGGGTTTTTAGTGAGCACGGACATCGGATGAAAAATACGTAGAGTGCGGAGAAGTTTGGCTGATGAATTAGTGTGGGAATCGCTCTGATGTCGTTTGCTGCTCAGTCATCAACACATATGTTTCCTGTAAGAAACTGGTGATATGGAGAGCCATTTGGTGTAAGGATTTCGCATGCTTTATTTCTATCGGTTAAATGTACACAACAGTTGTCCGTATGCTTGCTTCTATAATTCGCTATGGAGCGGGGGCGACGACGTTGTAACGTTGAGCGAAACAGCGGCTATCCGAGTCAGTGCCACCCCTCTAGAGTTCTTGTCCAACTGTTGCTCGGATACATTCTTTTGCTACGTTCACCCATCACTGGTCGTGTCCCTCCCAACTCGTCGGGCTTTATAATGCTCCGCCATGAGAACATAACAACAGAACTGATTTCTTGAAACCAGTTTCTGATTGTTTCTCAAGGAAGATTGCCTTATTACTCTTTCATGGTATCGCACTTAGGGAACAGTTCGGATGCACAAGCTTGAGACTAAGAAGTCTTTCAAGTTGGTGCGGTATCCAAACAATAAATGTCAACACTTGACTGGTGCGCCTGGCTCCGTCCCGCTATCGAAATCGCTCGATCAGCTTTTGCTTATTCTTTTCAAACCAATTAGCATCTTGTCTATTTTCCGCTATCGCATTGCTTTTGGATGAACTTTGAGGAAGCAGATGCAGGCTTTGCTGTTAGTGTAGCGCTTATTACACTTTGAGATGTGCGGGCGGTGTTGGCTACTTCGGCTCCTCCCACTTCCATATGTTAGGATTATGTTCCAGGCGATGTTGTTTCAAATAGACGTTTACACGCACGCTTGTTCACTGACCACAAATTGATTCATTTTGATGTTAAGAATGTCCATCATATCTACTATTCTGCGCTACTCAAGCTTCAATGAATCGCTAACCTCGACATGGGAGCCACAATGTTCCTTTTTCAATCCCTAGAAGTCACAGTCTTGCCAATTTTTTAGCTACTCAATCACCTTGAGCTGTGGCGAAATTAATTCATATTAGCGCAATTTGGCAGCTCCTAATCCTATTTTGTTCTGCTGGTACTTGTCTCTGTCAGGTTACTTGCCTTAGTTCTTGTCTCAGAAAGCGGATCTTACTTGTCGGTTTATAGTCGGAGATTGCATTATCCTCATAATTTGAGAATCTCAGGAATCACCATGCCAGAGGGAAAGGCGCCGCACTTCCCACAGCAGCCCGTTGCACGTCAGAACGATGACGGTTCTCTTGAGCTTGAATGCTTTCTTGACGCTTCTCCTCAGCCAGACATCAAATGGTTCTATGATAACGTAGGTTGAAGATCTTCACAATGTTTTTATTTTTATATTACATTTTCCCTGTCCTCCACAATACGGGTATGACTCTATAACAAGCTCGAGAAATTCACGTAGCTCACTCAGCTCTCTATTTTAAACAGCAAAGTTGAAATTGAATATTTTCACTATTAATAATAAGGATGTAAGGTAATTCTATATTTTTTTATCATGTACTCCAGTTGAGGAAGGTTTTCGGTTTTGATGAAATTTGCAGTTGTTTTCTTTCAGTGCAGTACGAGTTCCCGCTATTTCCCAATCGTCTTTTTGCGTTGATTCGAGTGGGAACAGTTCCAAAAGCTTATCTGTTTGAATATTTTTGGAAGGGTATCGCAAATTTTTACTGAACGCTAATG